TACTATCTATAGCCTGTGTCAGCCAGGTTTCTGTTACTGCGATTGTGTCTGGCTTTGTAGAGGCAATCTGCACACCTAGTTCCGATCGCTTATTAAGTAAGCTTCGTGCATTGGTGTAACAGATCCGAAGCCTGTTAAAGTGCCTTCGTGCTTCACCCAGAGTGGCTTCGGCATTATTCTCTGTCGAAGTCTTACAACCCGAAAATTTACAATTTTCAGGTCCTTTTCGCCAGCGTCTAACCTAAGTTGTAGTTCTTTCTCGGCTTCCCGTCTTTTAACATGGTCTGTCAACAGTAGGTCCTTTCGGATAAAGACTCCTGAACCCTTTAATTTGTGTCCATTTTGTAAAATTAGGTCACGTTCGTTCGAAGAGCCGAATACTACTTTAAGCAGTCTGGAATGATTTGGTTTCGAGTCCGCTAGACCCCCTAGTCTGTACACCTTTAGCAAGGTGACCCCGGTCATATTTTGAGGCATGAATTGATTAAGCAGCTGCCTAATCAGTACAATGTCATGCTCCAAACGAGCTTTAGGTTCAGAGCTCTCGCTCTCCTTGATTCTATGAAAAATAGCTGATCGGTCTCTATGACCAGCTTTCGATTTTTCAACTACTTTTACGGGGGCAGGGTTCCCTTTTATATCCCTACTTTTCTTCCTTACAACCTGTACCCATTCGTCAACGGTGCTGGTAGAAGCAATAACAGTAGCGTCAAACCTAGTGTTGGATTTTGGGGGGTTGTCGACGACCTGAGAGGTCGGGTTATGTTTACCGCTTGATATCGATCGAGCCTTGCGATTGCGGCTTCCAGGTGTTTCTTGTTGGATCCCAACTGGGAGACGATGAACAGAAGACCCTACTTTTCTTGAGCTTTTGTTTAAAGCAGGCTCCTTTGGAGACTGCTTTTCCTTCTTTGACGGGCGTGAGTCATCTATCATCGGACTAACCTCAGTTTCCTTCACGTTGATTTGCGTGTCGACAGATCGAGTGCTGTTTGACGCGTTCCGACTATGCTTGCTAAAACACTTCTTTGCAGCATCAACCAGTGAGATGGCCTCGGTTAACAAGCTGTTTGCATCCGAGCTGCACTGTTGACAAAGCCATACACAACCCTTCTTACTGAACCGTTTGAAAGCAGCAGACGTTAAGTTCGTGCAAATTTCGTGGTACCAGCCTTTGCACTCGTCGCACTGCATGCCGCTTTCAGCAGGATAACGACAACCCGGATGTTGGCAACTGATTTTTTTACACTGTCCGGTCATTTAGGAGGGATTCTTTTTCAAGATGCGGTGATACTCAGAAACGAAAAAATAATCAATGACCAAAAAAGTGAAGAGCTGTAGATTGCTAGGACTAAAAGTACTAACAGATACAGTTGAAAAGAGGTACTCAAAAGTACCAACGACAAAACTAATTGAGAGAACAAAAAACGATACTCTGGTCGAATACTTTAACTGAAATAAATTCAGTTAAAGTGAAAACAGTAGTCTTGATACGTAATAAAAGATCAAAACAAACTAATTTACTCAGCGAGGAAAAATACCACTGTCCTTTTTAAATAGCGCGCAAAATTGTAATTAATAAAGACTCAAGACTGGAAGGAAACATCTAAGCCCCCAAATGAAAGAATCGGTGACAAATCTACTATCGTCATAGAAGCTTCGCAAATAAAAACTCCGTTTATTCCACCCGACTATGAATTGTTAAGTTATTGGGTATTGAACGGTTCGTAAAGTATGGTTTGAAACTTGTATCAATTTTCACTCACAATTGTCGTATTTGTAAGTCTGGCAAGTTACTACGATTAAGTCAACATTTTTTTCCATCTTATCAATTTATGTGTCAATTCATGCTTTTCGTTAAAATTTGCTTTTGTCATAACGGTACAGAAATATTTTAGTTCAAGATTTTATCTTTGTTTCTAATAGAGTTTATGCATGGGTACTATATGAAGTATTATATTACAGGTTCTCCTAGGAACAATGGATATAATATCGATAGAAAGGCCAAAATTTTCAGTTGCTACTCAGATGTTGCTCTCAACCAAAAATTTGTTATGCATGGCCTTTAAAGGCCTTTTTTCCCCTTTATTTCCCCTTTTTGTGTTGCTTGGGTTCTTAACAAATTTTCGTTCTACTTTTCCATATTGTAAGGGGATTGGGTTCTCATGAACTGCCTTTCTAAGACCCGTTTTGGGCTTCACTGAGGGTGTTGTTTTTACATTTGTATTCCTTCATTTTCATTAATCAGTCCTTCCATTACCTTCGACTATATTGGGAGTAGTGCGACTAGTCTGGAACAGGATAGGTTTTTTCTATCTCTCCTTTTGAAGATTGGAGAAAGTGGCCTGCTTCCGTTCTCTTCGGAGTTGGTGTAAATCTAGTGAATACCTGAACATGTCACACACCAATGTACCGATGTCTTCTGCTCACTGTTTCAGGGTTATTAGACGGATGTTGTTACATACTGGTGACTTACCTAAGCGCAGGGATTTTTGTCTCTTTAATACCAACCCGAGAGTTAGTTGGATGTATCTCAGACCCCCAACTGGCACTTGAGTTGAGGAGTGTCCTGTGCTTTTAGCTCCTGGTTTAGTTGGTTTACGAAGTGATGATTGGAGATATCTGCCATCTCCAAGTTAGCAAGATCTTCGCCATTTAACCCTTTAAGAGAGCAGGTCGTTTGGTTTGTAGGCTTTCTTCTGGCCATGAATCTGCAGAGATATTTAGGGTTAGCTTGCATTTTAGCCTCTAGCTTGACCTGAACACATATATCACTTCAGATTTTGGTGTTGCATCTGTTCCTACATGTCAGGTAAGAACTGCGACCAGATTCCTTCAGATGGGACCTTTCACCTGCGTCAGGCTCTCTGTTTGACCTATAAAGATACGAACAAAAAGTACTTGTATGGAAGGATAAGAGTTTTATAATATCCAGTCTAGGTATCTGGTGATTCGGTCGTGGACCTAAGTAAACATAGAGGCTGGATATACCTCTTTGCGATACATAAGTTTGGTTTACTGGAGCTAGTCGAGATAGCTTTAGCTGTTTAGAGAAGTCATAATTGATATAAAACAGAAATATTCATCTATCTCAATATGACGTTCACTATCTACCAACCAAGAAGAAATGGCTGTTAATTAAATTGGTGACTTTCTTTCCAAACCATGCTGATACATGTTCACGAGCACGCAAGGGTAAAGCCGTTCAGGTATGGAAAATGTAAATAGCTCTACAGGAGCAGTTGAATTGTTATACATACATAGAAAAGCTCATTATCAGTAACCTACCCTTGATTTGTTGTACAAGTACTGGTTTGGTTGAAATTACACGTAACTTGGAGGAGTGAAATGTCCTATCAACCGATCTTTTGAGTCGACATGTTAAAAGTTTTCACGCCATATCCGCTTTAAAATCGAGTTTTAGATAGACGTTTTGCTGACCGTGTCAGTAAAAAATGAACTTGATAATCTTTTTAATCGAAAATCCGTCTTAAACCAGCTGTTTAATGACAGACCTTTAATAGTTAAAATTCTTAAGAAAGTATCGAAATAAGAAAGCTGTTCCAAACTATGTACAAATCACAAAAAATATCTGTCAACAAATACATCCGAGAAACTAAATCTTTTCCTAAAACTTCCGTGGTTCTAAGGACGATTTGTTCTTGGTTATATTGCTAAGGGGTAAGTGGTAAGTATTCACGATAGTTATACGTAACTTTTAGTTATTAGAAAGCTCTTTTAAAAAATTAAATAGTTAATAAACGAACGGTTGTTACATTCGTTATCTTTATAGTCGATGATCAAGGATAAATAAATTATGTAGGAACTGGAGTATTAATGTTTTCGAATATGTATTTTAGTAGTCTAATTAAATAGCATGTACAGTAATAATAAAGTCAAAGTATAGTAGAACTGAGTGAATATAACTAGACTGGAATAGTATTGAAATAACACCAGAATTAAACTTTTTAATTGAGTCGGATTTATGTTGGCACTGGCACTGGCACCAGCAATTGTATTGAAATAGAAATAACACTGACAATTTAATATCCAACAACTGTATTGCAGTGAGGTGAATCCAGGATTATACTAGATTGGTCTAATCTGCATCGTGTTGAAATTAATACAAACTGTTCAAAGTATCAATCAGTCAGAGTGTTTTGAGAATCTATCCATCAATATGACAGATGAATATGATTAACAAATAGATAGATAGACAAGTAAACAAACAATGAAGACATTCAATTTAATCACACAACTGATCACAAGTTAAGCAATAGAATTGAATTATCGCGCTTGGCAGTCATATGTCGTATTCCAAAATGAACATGCAACCATATTTATTTATCATGTCTGTATTATATGACACGACACTTCTAGTTCATAGAAACCCTTCCTATCTCGTGAAAAGTCATTGGATTCTATCACGAAGTAAAAATTAAACTTCAGAAAATGTTTTTTTGCTCTTCCATTTTTTGTAGCACAGATTGAAACAGTAGTTAGTTGAGCTGGTTTATATTTTTACTATGTTCTATTTTTGCAACTGTCTTTAGTTTTTCAAAAAAAGATACTGAACTGACGAATGTAAGACCACCTTTGAGAATCTGGGAACTATGAACGGCCTTCTCGTCCTCGTATGAGAATCTTCAACAGTGTGCATCCGCGATCCTCTACGAGGGATTTGAAACCAGGACCCATTGTGTTACGCGCGAACGCTTAACCTCTAGACCACTGAGCCTGCATCCAACGGTGTTAATGTCTAACCTCAACTAATCTGCTATGTTGCGCGATCGTTGACTGCTTAGTACTTTCAGGTTTTCAGTGGTGTTCTAACATCTATAAGTCCATGGTCTTGATTAAAGCTTAATAACCTCAAAATCACATACTGACATAATTTTCTTTTGGAACTAGGTCCGTTACAAATAAATCACAATGGTCCTTTTTTGTTGATCACAATGACGACTTTGCATTCGTAATCTACACACATTATAGCTTACATTATGGAAACAAGTCAAATTCCAAAAATTCTTCCGGTCCAATTAAAAAAAACATGTATCTCAATAATATCAGGACAGTTATTATCTATACTGATTGGTCTTACTGCAATATGTAATGGTGTACTTTCTAAATATAATATAAATTTACCATTAGCTATAAATTTTCCACATTATTTTTTATTATTTTTTTTCTATGGAGTTCCTTATCTTTGTTTTAATCTATTTAAGAAATTAACTCATTCTAATAATAATAACAATAATAAAAATGAACCGATTAGTAATACTTTAAATTACAATATCAATGATAGAACTATTACAAATCATAATAGTAATTCTATTACTGACAATGAACAAATTATTATTCTACCTAATTCTGAGAAAACTTTTATGCAATCATTATTAGTTCGTTTTAGCTTTTATTCATTAATTGCTATTATTGATGTTCATGCTAATTGGTCCATTGTAACTGCATATGCGTATACAAGTGTAACTAGTATTCAATCATTAGATTGTATCACTATACCAACAGTTGTATTATCAAGTTATTTTTTCTTATCCTATCGTTATACATGGAATCATTATATTGGAATAATTTCATGTTTAATTGGTACTACTGGTATGATACTCACAGATTATTTTATACAATCATCAAATCAAAACATTGTTCATTATGGCAATACAAGTGAAATCCATTTGAATCAATTATATAATAGCACTATAAACAATCAATTATTTACTGCAAAACAAATAATATTCGGTGATTTCCTAGTTATTATTGGAGCTATTTCATATGGATTGTCAAATGTTCTACAACAATATCTTGTTCTAAAATATGGTATTATAGAATTTCTTAGTTGTGTTGGTTTAACAGCATCCATCATAACATTAATTTATACTATTTCAATTGAAAAACATTCAATCAGCATGATGCTGTTTAATGTTATGTCTATAGATTTAACGAAAGTTACTAGTTGTTTCATTGGTTATGCTGTAGCAATGTTTCTATTATATTCTTTAATGCCATTAATTTTAATGCGTTCATCTGCTATTCTAGTAAATTTATCATTACTTACATCCGATGTTTATGCTGTATTGATGGACATTTTTATATTTCATCATAGTTTTCATTATTTATACATTTTATGTTTTATGATAATTTTACTCGGCGTTGGTGTATTCAATGTAAATGAACCAGTTATTACTGATAAAAAAGATCACCAATCGAATTGTTTCCACTTTATTTCACGGAAAACTAAATTATAATGAACGAGTTAATGAAAGTTTAAAATTCTTTTTATTTTGTTGGTTGACTGTTTAGGAAAAAAGTGAGTTTACTTATATATATGGATGAATGAATAACTCTGTGTTAGTTAACATATCGATATGAATTTCTGTGATTGTGTAGAATTATTTAGTTTTTACTAAACATGAATTAATTAAAGTTCATTCACTATCTGATTAAAGTTGTTTTCACCACGTAAAACGCTTAAATTTCTTAATGTAAGTACATGTGCTGTTCCAAGGTATTCATACACAGATTTTGTAAAACCATTTTTTATTGTGTCTAATTAATATGTAAGGGTTTAAGCTATTCTGTTGTTTATATTCTTGATTGGATTTTGATCACTCTTAGTTGGCATATATGCATCCTGCGTGGATTTTCTCGATATAGCTATTTCATGAAAATTTTTACAGGAGGAATGGATAAAGCTTCCGGTATTTGGAGCGAAATGCACCGCGTTTGAGTTTTTATGTAAAAATCAACACGGAAATGCAGCTACAGCCAGCCAACTTGTCCTAAATAAAACGAAAACCAATTTCTGAATTCCACTGCTAGCTATAATCTATCTCTTCTTTAGTACTTAGCTAATATTTAGATTTCAATATTTGAAATACCACCAATGCACAGTGGTTGGATTATATCATAATTATTTGTTTCATTGAACATAGTTTGTAATCTTTATTATTAACTCGACGACTTACTTATACAAAACATATTTCAAATATCATTATTGAGTTTCCACGTTATCATATAAATGGTTGTCATTGAAGATCACAATATGCCTCTGGACCGCGCCATTCAGTTAAGTGATTTATGAAGAATTATAGAATATAGTGTCTTGTCATACTGATGTCATGGATAAAATCTGTACCTCAAACGGATTTTTTATAGCACTAACCTTTGTTATATGGATGCTTTAATTCTGAGGCTTTCAAAATAGCTCTAAAAATGTAATCAGACTCTACGTCAAGTACAAATCTACCAGAACTATAATGAATGGTTCTCAGTCAACTAATATGTATAAGACAAAAAATGAAGCCATACAAAGCTACTGGATTGTTGTTAAGATTTTCTTAACGTCGATGAACGACTATACTAAACTAGGCAGCGTTTATGTCCTCAGTGTGATGGGATATATGTCTGAAGACGGTTTACGCTGCATTCTTGGGACTATTTGTACCTTAAATTATAAGTGTGGATGTAATATGCTTGGACTCGACTATATGGAAGAGGAGACTCAAACTTATTCTTGTCTTTTTCTGTAAAATGAAGTAATTCAATAAGCAGAAACTCCTAGTTATAGCATCCGTAACTCTTTATCATTGGTGAAACAATTTCATTCTGAATCTTCTCTATATATAAAGCACCTTATCAAAAAATTTTCGAGACTGCGGAACATTCTACCACAATTTGTCCGTGGCCTAAAGTCACTCTCATCCTTTGTTCGCTGCATCGATGCTTACTTCGCCTCTGGAAATGCCTCAAATATGTTCACACCTGTATGTATACTCCAGTCCACAAGTGAGATTATAGCAACTTTAAATGTTTAATCGCCTTTGTTACTGAACACACTAAGTAAACCTCTCTATCTGTAGGTACTTTACACTGACACCGTCGCTGGTAACCTTAAATAACCTGATTTATATATATATATATATATATATATATATATATATATATATATATTACTGGCTAGTGTGAGCTGCATTTTATGAATTCCACTTGCAATAAACAAATCTGACGGTTACCTAAAGTGGTTCGATGAAGATAAAATTTCATGGTTTATGAAGATGGATTCGTTAGGGAAGGTATCCTTCTCCCCATCAAAATTATCATCCCAAGTGCCTTACTGTAAATTGTTTGAATACTTTTAACACAGAACTTAAATATGTAGTACTGTCGAACATAGCCGGCCATAACCTTCATCTTGACAAGTCACTCGTGTTTGGTTGTTGTATTGAATCACTCAACCTGGATAGACTGGGACAACTACTGCTTAAGGTTTTATTATCTCAGACATGTCCTTGGGGAATATGTAGGAACAAAAGTTTCGAATTTAAGGTCTAGAGGGAGATTCCATGCTTCAACTTTATTGATATTGCGGTAGGAGCATGGTATTTCCTACAAACAAAAAATGTCTCTAGCAAAGATGGCTTCTCAGAACAGGATGGAGACTGGAGAAAATCGATCACATTTTCACGTTGAAAAGGCCGTCATCACATAGTCAATCATTTGGTCACAACGTAGAGCGTGTACGTATATACATCAGTTCGAGCCGCCATACCCATTAGCACAGAGATGAAGTTGTCAGGCCAAATCCATAAATAATAGATGTAGTAACAGTACCAGTGGAAATATGAAAGGTTAGGCATCGAAGATACGATTCAAAAAGAGTTGAAGGGAATCAAGAATCTGAGAATTCGAGGACGGACGAAGAATGGATGTGCCTGCGCCGTCCAAACGATTTTGATCCATATCATTCAAAGTCTCTAACCACTGGTCACGATAATCACGTGGGCTCCAGCCAGGTATTCTAAATCTCAAAATTATAAATCCAGATTAATATTCCATAAAATTGGCCAGATTTAAGGCAAAATACATCATTTGGAAATTGTAATATATGAATCAGGAATTGTTTGTTATATAAATAAAATCGTTAATGTTGGGACGACTAATATGAAGTGTTAACTTGAATCAGTTTATAAGCGAAATAAGATTGTGAGATAAATTATCAGAATAAATATGGTCAACATGGGGTAAGAGAGAGAGAGAATATTGTGATTACAAATCGGAAATTACGTAATATGTAAAATAATTAGGTCAACTATAGTAGATTCAGGGGTGGATATTGAATAAATTCCTCAAAAAGGGGTTATCAAGTGTAAAGACAATAATAGTAATAATAATAATAACCGTGATGATAATAATAATAATAATAATAATAAAGTTTGGGACATAAAATGAACATTAACCAGATTACGTCACCACATTATAAGATTGATTACTAGCTAGTTGGCCAGGGTAAAAGGAGTGGCTGAACATACTTCTTTTGGATACAAAGCTCTGGCTTTTTAATTCGAATAGCAATTGCTTCAGCCGTCTGTAGGATTCGCAGTCTGACGGAATTAGGTAGACTGCTGTTGACACGATAGATTATTGCAAAAGATTGCTCCATGTTTGCTGTATGTCCTGTTTGGACTAAATGGTCTAAGATGGAGCTGTTAACAGTTTTGACAACACCTTTGCTTAACCACACGGGTAGGTGCTCACGAACCCGAATGTACAAATTCCTAGAACATCTGCCAATATAACTTGCTCCACAGGAGCAGTTGAATTGATAGATGCAGAAGGAGGTGGCTAGTCTAGGTAATTTATCTTTCAACCTCTGAGTGATTATTGGTCGTGTGGAGAATACTAGTTGTAGTTTAGCTGCATTAAAAGTCCTTTGAATTGATCTACTTAACTTAAGTCTTAACATTTCACTCAGCGCGTCGCCTCTGAATTGTAAGCGTATATATAGAGGCTTTTTATTTATTGTTGGGCATTCTCTACGCTGTCTTTTATTGGCTAAGTTTTTATTTATAAATTTCTACAGATATCCATTTTCCTTCAGGGTTGTAAACAGTGTCTTTGTTTCATCTTCAATCGTATCCATAGTGCATATAGTCTTGATTCTATGATATAGTGTCTTGATAAGATTCCTTTTTTGTTGTAGAGGAACGAAACTGAGAAAGTTAGTATACTGACCCGTCCAGGTAATTTTCCTGTTTATGTTTCTTTTTAGCGTTCCATCTTTTCTCCTTGTAAGCAGAACATCTAGGAAGGCTATTTTACCCCCATTTTCTATCTCATATGTGAATTTTATGGACGGGTGAGCTGTATTGAATTGCTCGAGTGTTCTTATCAAGTCCGTCTGGTTGTTGCAAAGGATAAATGTATCATCCATATATATTGACAGTACAATGAAAACTTATCGATCTCTTGTGCCAGTGGGCCGTTTTCTAGTTTAGAAAGGAAAATGTCTGCCAATATGGGACCCAGGGGTGAACCCATCGCGACGCCATCTATTTGTCTGTAGATTTCACCATTGAATTTGAAATGTACATTCATAGTGCATTTTATTACTAATTATTTGATGATCTCCACAGTGATCGTCGTTTCTAGTTCCTGTTCTCTAAGTTGTTCACAAATATATTCTACAGTTTCTCTGAGTGGGATTGGCAGATGTTCTAGGAATTTGTACATTCGGGTTCGTGAGCACCTACCCGTGTGGTTAAGCAAAGGTGTTGTCAAAACTGTTAACAGCTCCATCTTAGACCATTTAGTCCAAACAGGACATACAGCAAACATGGAGCAATCTTTTGCAATAATCTATCGTGTCAACAGCAGTCTACCTAATTCCGTCAGACTGCGAATCCTACAGACGGCTGAAGCAATTGCTATTCGAATTAAAAAGCCAGAGCTTTGTATCCAAAAGAAGTATGTTCAGCCACTCCTTTTACCCTGGCCAACTAGCTAGTAATCAATCTTATAATGTGGTGACGTAATCTGGTTAATGTTCATTTTATGTCCCAAACTTTATTATTATTATTATTATTATTATCATCACGGTTATTATTATTATTACTATTATTGTCTTTACACTTGATAACCCCTTTTTGAGGAATTTATTCAATATCCACCCCTGAATCTACTATAGTTGACCTAATTATTTTACATATTACGTAATTTCCGATTTGTAATCACAATATTCTCTCTCTCTCTTACCCCATGTTGACCATATTTATTCTGATAATTTATCTCACAATCTTATTTCGCTTATAAACTGATTCAAGTTAACACTTCATATTAGTCGTCCCAACATTAACGATTTTATTTTATATAACAAACAATTCCTGATTCATATATTACAATTTCCAAATGATGTATTTTGCCTTAAATCTGGCCAATTGTATTCTAAATCTATTAACACGA